GAGACAGAAAGGTACTATCAAGTACTTCTTAAAGTGAAAAAAGTATCCGCAGTATTTTAAAAAGAGAAAAAAAGTAGGAAACGTTATTTTATTTGACTTTATTAGTATCAAAACTATTTAAAAGTGTTTGTTCCCAAGGGGAAAAAGCGAGACTTCAAGAGTACGTACTTCACTCGTACTTCAAAAACCTGAAGTCTCGCTTTTTTCCCTTGTTTTTCCCCACTTTTTCTTTACATGGGTTCAGTGCTTCTGAAAGTACGAATAAGCACATTTTATATTTTTTATAACAGAAAGTACTATTAAGTACTTTTTAAAATGGGAGAAGTATGAGAAACGTACTTTAAAAAGTGAAAAATACTAGGAAAAGTTACTTTATTCTACTTAATTAATATTAAAAGTACTTAAAAGTCTTTTTGTGCCACTTTTTCTTTACACGGGAAGTTAACTCTGAAAAAATTCTAAGACTAGTTATGTTGTTGATCGGGAGTCTTAAATAGTAACAGTGAAATCGTGGTTATGGATAGTGTCAAATATTTATTCCACCTCAGTTGAAAAATAACAACGATTTTAGATTAAAAAAGATTACATATTCTCACAAACTAAATCGTTTTCAATGTGATTAGTCAATATATGGTAAACTTTTCAATGTGCAATAGTAGGTCAAGCATGTAAATTTAAGTTACATGCTATAATTATAATTCCTGACAACTGAAATGAAATATTCGGTTTTTAATTGAAATTAAACCTCAAAAGAAGTTCGAAATATAAGAAACTATAATATTGAAGTTGATATAATGAACTCAGTAAGATTTCAAAAGTAAACTTCTGAGCCTAACTTGCTTGGTTTTAGAACATTTCAAAATGATACTCTTTAAGTCATTCAATGCAAAACTGAAAGAACTATAATATGAATTGATTACATTTGTGGTAAGTGTCTTGTGAGATAGACGTTTGATCAAAATTCAGGAGAAAAAAAGGAAACTTTCTACTCTGATAAAACCCGATATTTGGAGTTTTTCGATCCTCCTTTGAGATTAAAGAGAATTATCGTATATACAGTTTTGTAGTGCAACTGAAGCTCTATCGATTGGTATATTACTCGATTTGAACAGTGGAAACTTCAAGGGACAATTTCACAAGAAATGATAGGTCAATTTTCGGCACTTTTTTTGAGGGTATGTTTGGGAAGGGACGTCTTAGGCTAGTCCGTTCTAGTCGACCAGACGTAGATGTTTAGACTCCAGTATTTTGGATTATTCTATGGTGTATATAAAGGTCTACCTTCTCATAGAGTCAAAACCAAAATCTGTTTACCCTTATGTTTTCGCTATTTCTAGATTTTTCATGGAGCGTCTATGAATTCATTCAGATGTTTTTCGTTTGCATTTATTGGTTCATATGGATCTGAATTAACAATAGATGAAATGGATAAATCTCAAGAAAATGATGCCATCTGTGATCCATTTGTGAATAATGGTACATTTCTTTTATGTTAAACAACAGGTCATGATACTGATTTATATGATTGACAAGCTACCAATGAACGTGGTCCAATAATATCAGATTTTGATATTCTCGTTCAAATGATTCCATCATCACTAGGTAAACCTAGGGTACGTTTGGACATGAGTATAAATTTTCATCTCACCTATAACGACTCTCACAACCACACCTTAATCATTATCGATAAAAGCTTTGGCAGTCTTTTACTATGTGATCAAATATTGCGTCCAAAAGATGCTCGAACAAGATCAATGTACTTGCTATCTATGCCATTCTGGTATTTTTATTCTACAACTTGTTGTAAAGATTAAAAAGAAAAAGTGTAGCAAGAAAAACTATAACAAAACTTACTGGTATCTGTGGTATATTGTATATCGGCTGTTGAATTCTTTTGTTCTGTTATGTTTTGTTTGATTTTTGTGTGTCCCGTAGCTTATTTTTGTACAACCGCTCCTTTACTTTTAGAGGAAGTTCTAATTGTTGCGTATGTAAGATCCTGAGTTCTTTCTTGTTTTTAACATCTTTTGTCACCATGTTGTGCAAGAAAAACATTCAACAATCAATCATATGCATCTATGTCTATAAAAAGAACATCATTACAAACGATTCGAGCTGTTTTTTTTTTATCATACTCTCCGAATGGCAACTAAGTTCAGAATGAAAAAGCAAACTAGCAGATATTAATCAATAACAGAGAGTTAATGAAGCTCTAAAATACCGGTTTCTCTTGTAAGCTTGATTTCAAGTGAATATGAGATTGTTATCTGACAATTCGTTCGAAATCGAAAAACAAAAGTTTGTATGTTTATGTTTTGCTTGACATAGAAAGGACAAGATAATACCTTTTACAATTATTCGCATGAAATATCATGAAGATAACAAATATTAGAATGGCATTAGAGCAATATTAAGTTTCATTCAAACGTTTGCTTCGATGATAGATGATAAATTCAACTTATTTTTTTCGATTAAGACACCTTGAGCAGGCATGTAAATTCGATAGAACAAACTTGTGCACACTATTCGAGTGAATCTTTCTTCGGCTTATTTTTTTAGATTTGAAGATATGAACGTAAAATTCGGTTTGGATGTGATCAACCGTGCTCATTATGTTTTGTGGAATATTTGAAGTGTTTGTTCAAGTTTCCATTAGCCTTAGAAACAAGTTCTTTCGATATCGTATGATTAAAATAGCAATCACTAGTTTATTTGATTGACACAAATGTGCTGGTCTTCGGATAGAGGTGTTGTAATAAATAAGGCAGATTTTGCAGCAAGGAGATTTTATACCAGACTTTTTCTGTTTTCAGATCTCATTCGTGAATGTTCTTATCGATCACACAATTAGAAAATTCGGCTAATGTCGAGAAAGAAATGCGTCAAAGAAAAATAAAAATATCTTATGCAGCAGCTAGGAGACGATCTACGTGCTTATTACTGTTTCACTCAGAGATAAACACGGAAGATATACAATGTTATAATGACAAAAATGACTGATGAGTAATATAATTGATTTTCCAGAGTGATATTTTATTATTATCGACTCAAAGAAATACGCCAAACTATAGCTGCGAAAGATTATGCAGAATTAACTGTTTAAATATGCAAATTTTTTAGAGAACAGGACCTTGTATCGTCGCAGACTATCTTCAAGAAATCGTTAGTATTTTCTATCACTGAACATTCAGTTCACATATAAAACAAAAACAAATGATGAAAGTTCCGAGTATACTATGTTACAAATATGTTTGAACAGATTGAGAGAGTAGTAGTTCATTGTCTAATGAGAATGACAAAAAAGTGAAAACCATCTCAGCAAATTGTTCATCCGATAGTTTATCGAATTCGCGCAAAGTATTTAGAAATCGATAATTTTCACTTGAAGACAAATCGAAGAAACTAAAGTGAAACTATGACGAAATAACCAACAAGTTGTGTTTGTTCTCACAATACCTATTTGCCTTGATTCTTTGCAGTATGTGTTATTTAGATAAGATAAGAACTGTGTGATCGACGTGTGCTTTACATTGATATTGGTTATAACAATGAATCAAGTCATCAAATTGTATGATCTTGCGCCATCATCCACTTCAACTCGGTATTATTCACCGACGACATGGAAGACTCGCATGGGTTTATTGCATAAGAATGTCGAGTTCGAAACGATTCCTATTAACTTTCTGGATTTAAGAGGTGAGCTTGCCACTCGTTCACATCAGCCTAATATTACTGTGCCGGCCCTCGAACTACCCGACGGGCGATTTATCTACGACTCATTTCGTATTGCCGAGTGGCTAGAAGAGAGCTATCCCGATGCTCCGTCTCTTTTTACTGGTGATGGCGAGCCATCCCGTGAGGCTCGACCTGAACATGTAACCACAGGTAAAACCTATGCACGTCTGATTGACTTGGGTCTTGGCGCCTCCAAATCTGAATGGGCCGTTTGGTACGATCTGTTCTTTCCTCAACTCGATCAACAAATCATTGGTGAAGAACTTCGAGCCTACTTTACGTCTGACTTACGACTCGGCCCACAAGGATATCAAAAATTGCTTGCACTCGATAGGCAAGAAATGATAAGACGTGCCAAAATGAATATACAGCCTCTCGTCGAAGTCTTACGCGAGCGTCCAAATCAATATTTTCAAGGCACACATCCAGGTCAAGTGGACTACATCGTTTTCGGTCGTTACGCTTATTGTCGTATGCTTGATCCAGTACTTACAAAGGAAATATGGGATGAACAGGGAGAAGAACTAAGCAATTGGATTCGTAAATTGTCTCAAGCTTATGATGGACACGCTCAGAAACTTTTTAGTAGCTTCTAATTTCTTTTAATTCATATTTTACTACCATTCCATATTCTTCAGTTGAAATTTCATTTTCACTCATAAAAACGTTACAAGGAGCAAGTGACGCTTTTACTAGAAGAGAAGCAGATTCTCTAAGAAAGCATATGATTGATTTTTATAAATACAGATTTCTTGCCATAAAAACCATTCAAAATGTTCTTCTCAATCTGATCTATTGTTCGGTTACCGATCTCTTAAAAACTGATGATGAAATAACTATACCATGAAATGTTTTCATTCAAAAAGCTTTTATTGATGGTTACATGTTAATATTTTGACGTTTATATATTCAATGTGATGTGAGCACTAGCGAAGCTTGTGTCTTGGACGGGTCAACAATCATGGAAAATGATTCCGAGTTATGTTATTTATCGTTGCTTCCGGATAAAGTAATCTGTACCGTCAAATGAAATGTGGTAAGAATCTCTGGCTAGAAATGAACATCATGTTTCACCTATACAGTTAGGGGACACTCAAGCAACAGCACAGTTGCATTTATTATAGAACGAAAGTTATTCCATTAATTTTTATAGCATTACATTTTGAGCAGCGTACATCGATTCGTCTTGAACACTAGTGTGTAGAGCGACCAATATGTTTTTAAAGAAATATAACATCACTTGGTGTCAATTCCTTTCAAGCCTATGATTTAATTCGAGAAGCTAAATTAATATATAAGTATCAATATTTTGATGCACACACCGTGGAAAACTGCACTGCTCAGTTACCTGAGGACAACGAAAAATACAAAGATATATAGTTAAATTGGAATTGTGATGTCTTTTGATAACGGATAGATTAGAAATTCATCGTTTTCGACTGTATTAATAACATCCTAATTGGAACATTGCATATCATTTACACTAAAATTTATCCAAAAGAAGGCTATGTAAGTGAAGTGAGTGTTTTCGGCAAGTACCTTCATCATCGACTGATTTTCACGAATACAAACTAGTTAGAAAGCAAAATAGAATTTACTTTGTAACAATTTCCACGGTGAAAATTATCAGATAATGAAGTTTATATAGAATGCAATCATTCTTTTGACAGGTTTTTATTTTTATATATTTAAAGGATGACATAGAAAACCGTATTTCATCATTAAAAAAATGTGTTATTTTCTGAATAAATCAAAACAAAAAGAAAAGCACTTAGGGAAAAAAAACAACATTAAATATTTTCAACTTACATGTACAAAAATTTACTAGCAAGAAAAGTAATTATTTCCTCCGTGAAAAGAAGAAACGATTTTCCATTCAGAGAATGTGGGCAGGAGTGATGAGAAGATTTAGAACAATACCAACATCCACACCCTTTTCTAGCAAAATGTAAGCAGTAGATTTTAGACTTTCGTAATATTATTCAAAATCTCACGTTATTAAGATCATCTCTGATGTTCTTATACAGATGATGTCCAAGAAACATATGCAACTACAATTAAATTTCTGGTAACATACTTGTATGAATAGTCAATCATAAAGATATCCAAAACTTTTGAAATTTATTCCAGTTTGTAGAGCTGTTTATGTTAAGCATTTCAGTACCAAGAAATTTTGATTTTCACCAATAAATGTCGATACTAGGCTCAAAATACTCAAACACATATTTGTTTTGTTAAAATATAGTGGAAATATTGCATTATTTGTTTGATAGATTATATCTGGGATGCTCGGTAAATATTTTATTTATTGGTACATAAATAAGAATAATTTCATTTAATTCGTTACATCTTCTGAGAAGGTACTTCTGCACAGAAGCTGGTAAACATGTTTCACCTTTAATGTCTAATAACTCATGACACGGCGTTAGCTCATTTATATTACTATGAAATCGAAATAGTGCGAAATTTTTTTGTATTCAGTTTTTTTTTCTTTGAAGGAGAATATATATATACGAGTATCTTCAAAAGACTATTACTTATTGCCACCTTTTTCAGCTTAGAGAATAGGTATAACTCTAGTGAAATGATGTAATTGTATACCTGAAACAATCATATTTTCATTATATATTCTTTAAAAGCTTAGATTACTAATCTTTTCAAGTATATGATTGATTCCAATATATCATTTACAACGTGTTTTATATGATCGACTTAGAATTCAGTATTTATCGAATTCTTTTTCGGAGCATATTTTAGACATATCATCAACAACTTAGGTTGCGTCTTTTTACAATCAATCAAACCATTGGATTCAACATATTGATTATAAGAATAGGTTTTATTCTTTTAGAAAAAAAAAATTAATTTTTATTATATTATCTGAAATCATGGATACACTTTTAAATCGTGTTCAAGAAAGGAATAAAGATATGACACAATTATTGAAAAATTTTTTAATTTAACAAAAGAATTCTTATGATGATGAATTAAATCCTAATGGAATATGTAACTGTGGTGTT